TTTTTTTAATGTGCATATATATAGTCTATATATCATATTATATATATATATGTGTGTGTGTGTGTGTGTGTGTGTGTTTATATATATGGTGACAAAAATTTATTTGTCTTTGTCTCCTCCAATGATGAAATTCTGGTATCGTTCCTGCTCTCTTCCTACCCTTGACGACCAACAACCACCATCAACCATTACCTAATGAAATATTTAATTTATAATTAACTTCATAATTCAACTTAAGAGAGCTAGACTCTTTGCGTGTACACGATCAAGAAAGAGTAATATATACGACAAAAAAATAAAATAAAATTTACGTAGATAATGATGTTACTTAATGTAAAGTTTTAATTTGAAAATAAATTATGCGTGAAAATTATTTTTATAATATTCCAACATTATTCATGAAAATAAATTATTCAGTTATGATTCTTTTAGTGAAAATCACATAGGAAATTTATTATCATATTTTTGTTCATAAAATTAATTAAGTGACTTGTTCCAAATAGATCAATATAAAATATATTTTAGGGGAAATTTTAATCCAATGTAAAAAAATTTACAAAAGAAATGGTAAATTTCATACACATTAATAATTATAATTATAATTTTTTTTTATAATTTTATAATAATTTTTTGGTACCTCAATATCCCCTATATTTTACGCTTAGATACATAATTTATGCCATCACAAACAAAGATGGCATTTTATTGACCGTAGAAAAAAACTGCATAAAGAACACAAAGTTCATATTATATTTTTTGACATGCTCAACAAACTTCTCTCTCTCTTTCACCACTCTATTACTCTATCTATGGAGTGGAAGTGAAGTTGAACTTTGCACAACTAGTATGTTTGGACAACAGTGAAGAGCTAAAACCCTACCTAGATTGTGCCAAATCAAACTGAAGAAGATTATCCTCCAACTGATATGCCCCTATCACAATTGGAGACTTTGGGCTCGGCCCGCCATCAGCGAAAGCCAAACGTGCCACGCCTGGCCGTGCTTGAACAATCAAGTTTGCTCCAAAAATCCTCCATACAGCGTTGCGGTCATGCAAAACAAAATCAATGTTGGGAACTCCAGGCCCGACTTGCGTGCTCGGAAGTTTTGTTGAGTCAAAACACACCCCGAAAGGCGACACAACTGGCTTCACTTGAGGCACCTGGGAGAATTGGTTCGCAAAGAACCGTGTAAACGTTGCAAAAAGGGAGCGTTCTAGGATTGTGTAAGGGGTGGCTGCGCTAATAATGGTTCCACTAAAGTCTTGCATGGTTGGGACAATTTTTTCATTTATTTTTATTGTACTCACTTCTATGTTGTAGTCTCCTTGTGGGTTCACTTTCAAAGGAGTATAAGCAGTAGGGTTCATAGTTCTAAATCGCGGTATTGGGTAACGTAACGGTATTGATCGCGGAGTATCGGTATCGGTAGTATCGGCCGATACGTATCGGGAATCGGGTGTCACGGCCGTGAAATTTTAAAAATTATTAGCAATCCTTCTGAAACTCAATTTTATGCATTTTTTGGACTCTTTTAGCCTTAATTTGTCAGATTTTAATCAAAATTTTGATATGTAGAGCACTTTTAACTCATTTTCAACTAAATGATATGTATTTATTTTAGTCTCAATTATAACTTTCAATTATCTACAATAATAATTTTCAATTGACAAATATTTTAATTCTAATTTAGTTGGTAACAATAATACATTTAAAATAAAAATAAAAAATCTGATTAGAATAAACCTCTTTAAAAAAAAAAAATCTAAATCTTAAACAATTACACCAAAGCAAGACACAAATAATAATAATAATAAAATAAAATAAAACAAGACACAAATAAATAAATAAACCAATAACAAACCTTGCCACTAATCCAAGCTTTTGATAGATTTGATTTGAATATTTATTTTTCTTGTTTTTTTTTCCTTGCTCTGCTCAACAGAAATATATATATATATATATTAATATAAACAGTGGTGTAGTGTAGGTGTATAAACAAATAAATAGAAGGGAAAAAAAAAAACCCCAAACATTTAGCACAACAAAGCATAGCAGCTGGTTCGTCAAAAACAGAGCATAGCACAACAACTCACCAAAAACAGAGCATAAGCACAATTTATAACCTGCAACTCAGGGACAAACCTTCTCTAAAGAAGCTTGAAGATCGAAGTGAACTCCACAGCCCAAAGAAGCTTAGATCTTGTAGGTTTTCTGCGCTAATTTTCATCTGCACCGGCGACCACCAACTTGTATCGAACTGTATCGCCATATGTATCAGATTCAAGCCGCCACGTACAGCGACTCGGACGCTACGACTGCAAATTTCATTCTCACCACTATACCGGTCCATATCCGAATCGGTGGTTCGAGTTAGATATGTCAATTCCAGGAGTCATATTGTAAGGCCCATCTCCAAAGAAAATAACCCCATTAGTATTGGGAGAGGAAGTGAGACACAAGCCAAATTTTGCCCCATTTACAAAGTTTGAAGCAAGTTGGTTTGGTAGGGAAATTAGGGAGTGCCCTAAACCAACCATCCCTTGAACATTTTTGGGTAAAGGTCCATTTAATAAGAAAGAAGGTGCACAAGCAAAAATGAACTGTGGTACAATGACCATGGAGCTGGACCTACAAGGGCCCGACCCTCTAGTCGATTCTATTGCAAGGACATCTTGGGCAAGCTCACCAATGGCATTTCAGTTCGTGATAGGGTTGGTGGTCAGGACTCCACAGGTGTTGTTATGGCAGCCCGGCCTAACTAGGGAGATACATTTGTGGCAATAGTGGCTGCTGGCTCTTGAGCATTGTGTTGAGTGGCAAAATGGGGCATTGTAGGTTGAGGAGAGGTAGTGTTTCTCACAGTTTACCCATGACAACTTGCCATTTAGGTCGATAACAAAGGGAATCGACATGAGAGGGGTTCTCTTGTGGATGTTGGCGACATGAAGGCTCGTGGTGCCATCTTTCTGAACTGGTAAAACGAGCGTTCGAGGCTTGAATTGGGTTGTTGATGTTGGTATGGAGCTAGCAAGAGAAATGAGAGAGAAGAAGGTGAGAAGACAACAATATTGCAGAGGGAAAGCCATTAGTGAAGAGGCTAAATTTGAAATGGGTCGAGTCCAAGCCTTGGGCCGGCCCAATCCACTGAAGTCCAAATCCAAGTGGGTTGGATGAGTATATGGGCAAACCAATTGAGCCTAACTTCATGATCAACAGTCCACCCAAGTCCTCAAGCACTTGGGCCCAACCTATAGTGGAAAGGCTAGTCCAGTTGTGGTGCTGGGCTGGGCCGCGTTGCGAGACTGAACCTATGGGCCGAACAGAAAATAGGTCGAGCCCATACAAAGATATCTGAACTGATCAGCCCATCTCCATGAATGATCCTGTAAAAGGCCGAGACAAGGCATAATGATGCCGAGCTGAGGCACAGCGGTACCGAGCTGAAGAAACCTTGCAAGGAAACGTGGAAGTTATGAATGTGTGCATGTGCAAGTTGCCACCTCAGTTGGTCCCCCACACCTAGAATCACGGAATTTGTTGAACCAAAGGAATGTGGTTTGTTATCAGCATGACTACAATGAGTATATGCATTCAATGACAACTACCAGGTGGTCCCCCACGTTGAGCAATGCTAAAAGGACACCTGGCAGCATCCAAGCTCCATGAACCCACCTTGAGAAGCAAGCAAGGAACACTATATATACAACATGAACTTCACATTGAAGGTAACTGAATTATTCCAAGAAAAACCACATTTAGATATAAACTCAACTCGATATACACTCCTTCTCCAATCACTGATTCCCACACCGGAGGGCTTATCCGGCCAACCCCGGCCGGGCAGCTCTAACGGTGCTTCTTGTGGAAAGAACCTCAGTCCTTGGATAGTCCAACCGAGTGCAGGGCCCCGATCCACTTTCATCTAGTACAAAATTCAGTACGCACAATTGGTGCGGTGAATGTGGATCACTTTATCTCTAAGCTCTGCACTCTGTTCCGGCGATGGGGATTGAGGACATTCCGCCTTCAGCACATACCCCACAGACGGAGAAGACAAAGGAAAAAGGCTTGGCACTCCCAATAGTTCTGGAAGAACAAACCGGAAATAACAACCGGACCCCTGAATCTGTCGAGCATCGATTACCCTTCACTAGAGGTTCTTCTCATCACTTTCTTCTGGAAAAAGATTACAGGGATCGAATCATAGACTCTATGGGGATGGAGATACAGGAGCTAAAAGCCTAACTTAAGAGGGTGCTGGGCGATCCGACGGAAAAGAAGACGGAAGCAGAGCCCTCTCGTTTGCGACGGAGGAGCTCATCCAGAGAGTCACCGGTGAAGAAGTTCCCCAGGAATGAGTCTGGGCAACAAAGCCAGCCTATCCCGGTACAGAGTGAGGCAGCAAGCAGTCACACCCGTGGGTCACGCCAGATAAGGGCCAAGAGGCAGAAGACGGTTAGTCAACAAACTGAATACCCCCCCTCAAGACCTTCGTACTTGGTTGATCGGCAACAAGCAGAGCGAACAACATCGGGATCATCTAGACCGTACTGTTCACCAGAGAGAACACCGAGCGCTGGATAGGCTCATCTCCTCACTATTCTCCCCGAAAATTGAGGCCATGAGACCTCTAAAGAAATTCACCCCACCAAAGTTCACTTCACACGATGGGAAGTCAGACCCACTGACACATATTAGCCATTACAGACAAATGATGTCCCTATGGAGCCGAGATGAGGCACTGATGTGCAAAGTCTTCCCATCAAGCTTGGGAGAAACCGGACTTCGATGGTTCGATCGACTCCCCGCTGGATCGATCTGTGGCTAGAAGCAACTCTCCAAAGAGTTCCTAGCCAGGTTCGTCTCCAACACTAAGATTCCAAAAGAGCCGAATACACTGTTCGACCTTCGAAAGGAGCAGGAAGAAACACTGCACAGTTATGCTAGGAGATACTGGGAAGAATACAATGACCTGGAAGAAAATGTGTGTAGTGAACAGATGGCCGTTTTGTCTTTCAAGCATGGCCTGCACCCGGAAAGTAAGTTGAGACAATCACTTACCAAGCGCTCGGCCACAACATTAACAGACTTGCATGCCAGAATTGAGCAATACGCTCGCCTCGAAGACGATCAGATCCCCATTGAGGTGGCGTTAGCAGAACAAACAGCTTGGCATAAGAAGAGAACAGATCGAGGAGAACACAGAGGGATTGTAGTGAATAAAGTGGATAAGTCCAAATCCCACGAAGTCGTCGTAATTGTGTTCAAAGAGCCAATTTATCGAATCCTAGAAAAGATCAATAGAGAGCCCTTATTTGTTTGGCCGCCGAAAATGTTGGGAGATCCGGCTCGGCTCAATCAGAAGCTCAGATGCACTTACCATCAAGACAGGGGGCACACGACTCAGAACTGTAGAGCACTGAAACAACACTTAAAAGACTTAGTAGCAGCTGGGCACCTTCAAAATTACAGTGATCAGGATAAGGAAGTGACCAAACCGGGGAACCCACCACTAGAACCAACTATTGAGCATCCACCTCGGCTGATAATAAATATGATCTACAGGACAGCGACTCAGGAACCTGAGGAGACACTGAGAGAAGAGATTGTTAAGGCTGTGCAAATCTAATAAGTCATGTCAGTGGAGCCCGCATCGAAAAAGGTACGCACGGTATCCAAATCCCCCTTGTGCACTATTTTATTTACTAGAAAGGATTTAGACGGCATACAACACCCACATACTGATGCACTGATTATAACTGTGGGAATTGGGAAACGATTTGATGTAAAACGAGTCCTGATAGATCAAGGCAGTGTAGCAGATATATTGTATTATGATTTGTTCAGAAAGCTTGGTCTCTCCGAACAGCACCTCACCCCAGTGGCAGCCCCATTGGTTGATTTCAATTAACAGCTAGAATGGCCGCTTGGCAGAATAGTGTTGCCAGTCGTGGTAGGAACAAAAACCCTCCAGATAGAGTTCTTGGTTATTAATACACCATCCCCCTACAACGCCATACTTGGCCGTCCATGGATTCATCAAATGGAGGCAATCCCTTTAACCTACCACCAGCTCATCCGTTTCCCAACGGAACACGGAGTAGAGCAGATCTCAGGGGATCAAGTTGCATCCAAACATTGCTTCATGGAAGCATTAAAGGCAAAGCAGCTCTGCAATCGGGTACAGACGGTAGAAGTGGCCGAACAGCCAGTCTTGGAAGATGTAGGGGGATCCCCAAAGGAGAAGATAATAGAGGATTTGGAGAGAGTCCTGGTAAAAGAGGATGACCCACAAAAGTACTTCCTTATCGGTACCTCCCTAGGCGTTGATGAGAAACTTCAGTTGTTGGAACTGCTGAGGGAAAATATGGAGGTATTCGTATGGTCAACATATGATCCTCCAGGGTTGGACCCAGAATTTGCTTGCTACAAGCTCAACATCAACCCTTCAGCTCGGTCCATCGTGCAGAAAAGTCGGAGATCCTTAGTTGAGCACACCGAAGCAGTAATTGTCGAAGTCGAAAAACTCTTGGCTTCAGGAGCAATCAGAGAAGTTCAGTACCCGCAATGGCTGTCCAACACAGTTGTAGTCAAGAAGAAGAACGAAAAATGGAGAGTTTGTGTTGACTTCACTTGCTTGAACAAAGCCTGCCCAAAAGATAGCTTTCTGCTGCCTCACATTGATCAACTAGTAGGCTCAACAGCAGGGCATGAGCGCATGAGCTTTCTGGACGCTTATAGCGGTTATCGTCAGATACCACTGTTCGGTCTGGATCAAGAAAAGACAACATTTATCACTTCGAGAGGAACTTATTGCTACAAAGTGATGCCGTTCAGCCTTAAGAATGCCGGAGCAACCTACCAGCGGATGATCACTCGGATGTTCAAAGACCAACTCGAGAAAACCATGGAAGCTTATATAGATGATATGGTAGTCAAGAGCAAGTTCGCTACAGACCATCTTACAGACTTGAGAGAAGTTTTCGGCATCTTAAAAAACCATCAGCTTCGCCTCAAAGCCTCAAAATGTGCTTTCGGGGTAGGAACAGGGAAGTTCTTGGGATATATGGTCACTCACAGAGGAATTGAGGTGAATCCAGACCAAATAAAAGCAATACAAGATCTTGAAGTACCAACAAAGGCTAAGGAGCTGCAGAAACTGGCCGGAATGGCGGCCGCACTGAATCGGTTCATCAGCAAATCTTCAGATCAGATGAAGCCCTTCTTCCAGTTTTTGAGGAAAAGGGCAGCATTTGAATGGAGTTGCGAGTGCACCGAAGCACTGCAAAGCCTCAAAAGATACCTCAGTACACCTCCCCTTTTGTCCACTCTAGAGCTAGGAGAGGAGCTGTACCTCTATCTAGCAGTCTCAGATCATGCCGTAAGCGCAGTATTAATTCGAGAAGTTAACAAGGAACAGAGGCCTGTATACTACATTAGCAAGACTTTACTAGATGCCGAGACACGGAATCTACCATTGGAAAAGTTAGCTTACGCGTTGCTTATCACCTCAAGGAAGTTATAACATTACTTCCAGGGGCATACCATCAATGTCCTCACTAAATTCCCCCCCAGATCTGTATTTAGCCGAGCCGATTTCTCTAGCAGAACAACAAAATGAGCGGTAGAACTTGGCGAGTTTGACATTTGGTATCAACCCAGGATAGCAATTAAGGCCCAAGTCTTAGCAGAAGCTCCCACCCGGAGTACCGAACCAGGGAATCCAAGTTCGGCACAGGTGCTACGCATCACCGAACAAGGAAAGCCCTGCGCTTCGGAAGCCTGGAAACTCTTCATTGAAAACATCTGGCAGCTCTATGTTGTCGGGTCATCCAATAACCGAGGTTCGGGGGCAGGAGTAGTACTTATCTCACCAAAAGGATTTATCTGGGAACAGGCTCTCAAGCTCAGTTGGAAGGCTTCGAACAATGAGGCAGAGTACGAAGCGTTGTTGGCTGGCTTACGCAGTGGCGAACACTTCAATGCAGAACAGCTTCTTATTTTCAATGATTCACAGCTAGTGGTAAACCAGCTTTCTGGGGTCTATGAAACACGGGATAAAAGAATGGCCATGTACGCAGGCAAGGCCAAAGACTCACTCAAAAAGTTTCAATCCATACGAGTGGAACGAATTAGTTAGGACAAAAACAGCCATGCTGATGCTCTGGCTTGTCTCGGCTCATCAGTGGATACCAAAGATGCCAGAAAAGTTCGGGTTGAGTTCGTGCCAGAACCAAGCATTTCATCTCCAGTCCTCTACAGCAGCGTAGAGCCGAGCTGAATGGATCCAATACTTGCTTTTCTAAAATCTGGTACTCTCCCCGAAGACAAAAAAGAAGCCAACAAAGTCAGACATAAGTCAGCTCGGCTTGGGATCTCACCATCCGGGAAGCTATACAGACGCTTCTATCTTGGCCCTTATCTTCTATATGTGCATCCAAATCTGGTCGAGAATGTTCTCTATGAAATTCACGATGGGATTTGTGGATGCCACGTTGGCGGAAGGTCACTGGAGCACCGAGCCCTCACTCACGAATATTGGTGGCCACGGATGCAACAAGATGCTCAGCAGTACGTATAGAAGTGTGATAAATGTCAGAGGTTTGCTCCATTCATTCATCAGCCATCCAAAACTCTCACTCCACTCACCAACCTACGGCCCTTTGCCCAATGGGGCCTGGATATTGTTGGATCATTAGCACGAGGCACGGGGAACAGATGACTCTTCATTGCTGCAACCGACTATTTTACTAAGTGGGTCAAAGTCGAGGCATTGGCAAGTATCAAAGAAGCGGATACAAAGCGGTTTGTCATGAGAAACGTGGTGGTGCATTTCGGCATCCCGCGAGTACTGGTTGCGGATAATGAAATGCAATTCGATGGTAAGATCTTCAGAAAGTTTTGTGCCGACCTCAGGATTGAGTATAAGAACTCTTCTCTAGGGTACCCGCAAAGCGATGGACAGGCAGAGGCGTCAAACAAAACCATCATCAACGGAGTAAATAAACAGCTTGAGCATGCCAAAGGAAAATGGGTTGAAGAGTTACCCCACGTGCTATGGGCATACCGAACCACAGCACGACGCTCAACGGGGGAAACACCTTACTCTCTAACTTATGGAATGGAGGCCGTCATCCCACTCGAAGTCGGCCTCCCAATCCTTTGGTCTGAATTGTTTGAGAGCACCAGTAACGAGGAAGCTATTGCACAAGCACTGGATATGGCAGAGGGCCGAAGAGAAGCAGCACTGATTAGACTTGTAGCGTACCAGCAGCAGCTCATCAAGAGTTTCAACCAAAAATTAAGCAATTCACACTTGGAGAACTGGTCTTGAGGAAAGTTATGGATCACAAAAGGGTGCCTGGCGAGGGCAAACTTGGGCCTAACTGGGAAGGTCCCTACAAAGTCACAGTTGTTGGAAATAGAGCTTACTACCTAGAGGAGCTGAATGGAAGAGCTATACCTCGGCCCTGGAACGTAGCAAATCTCAAGAAATACTATCAATAAAATTATCCCCCAGCTTCTCTATCAGAATGCAAAGGCATTTATCTGTTGACCAATGTAAATGCTTCCCCACTTCTCTCAAATTTATCAAATTCTTGTAATTAGCTTTGATGTTTATCAAATGGAATTAGCTTTGGTTCTCACCAAACGGAATTAGCTTTGATCTTTATCAAACGGAATTAGCTTTGGTTCTTACCAAACAGAATTAGCTTTGATGTTTATCAAACGGAATTAGCTTTGGTTCTTACCAAATGGAATTAGCTTTGATGTTTATCAAACGGAATTAGCTTTGGTCCTCACCAAATGGAATTAGCTTTGATGTTTATCAAATGGAATTAACTTTGGTTTTCACCCAAATGGACTTAGTTTCAGAACGATTGGACGGAATATAAATTTGGTTAGCACTCAAACATGCTAAGTGGTATTGCTTGGTGGAATAATGTTTGGCAACTAAATTGGACTTTAGCCAAGTGGAATTGCTTGGTGGAAACCATACTAACATATCTTAAGTAAACGTCTTTGAATCCACAGAATTCCTTAAGTACCAACACATCAACACTTCAGTACTGATTTAAACAAACAGAGTTGGAACAAGCATGGCCAGGTTCTGTCAGGAGTAAACTTCCAGCATTAGTCTTACTTAACTCCAGGTGGGGGCAAACAACTATTTTTTTTTAAAAAAAACCAACCTGGACCTGAGTAAGACACCTCTTCATGCCTTTATCTCATTCAAGTGCATCTGCGCTATCAAAGTTGCAACAGACTTAAGCAGTTCTATCTAAGAGCACAATCTTCAGTACCAATCTTACATAGCTCCAGGTAGGGGCAAACAATCGTTTTCTTTCAAAACCAACCTGGACCTAAGTAAGACCCACTCACGAACTCAAGCACAGCCATACCACATATCCGTTAGCCACACTGAGCATCGGTTCGGCCTCGAGGTCCCAACAGTGCTCGGCTAGGGGCAAGCAGTACAAAGCCACACCGAGCATCAGTTCGGCCCCGAGGCCCTAACAATGCTAGGCCGGGGGCAAGCAGTACAGAATCAGACAGAGCATCTATTTAAAAGCAGTACAGAACCAGACCGAGCATCTATTCAGCCCGAGGTCCCAACAGTGCTCAGCC